TTTTACATACAAAAAGCCTCAAATGGTTTATTATTTTACCTTTGATTCAGGAGCAAGAGCATGCGCTTGTGGGTGCAATCGCAAAACTTGGAGATATATCCGATGGAGAAAATGGTAAGTGTTTAGTTTGATTTAATAAAGCGTTTAGCATCTTCAAGCCCTATATCAGGAGATGCTTGTAATCTCAAATGAAAAGGCCATAACTAAAACTCTCCTTCTCTGTTTTTTTGTACAGAAGGTGGCTTTCGTCGCTAACTTGTGTTTTGATAGAATCAAGCAATTTTGCCAAGGCACAGTGCAATCCGGTGGATGAGGAGCCAATGAAGAAGAGAGCATTTGTTGTGATTTGAGTTCAGAGTCTCAACTTCTTTGATGTTTGCCTTTTTGGAGCATATGACTGTAATTTTTGTTGACATTAGAGGTTAACTTTACTTGTTGGTTATGTTGGATATATGTTCTCAAATGGAACTGTTTCAGCATCTTGTCGCCATAGCTTGTGTAAAGACTTTGATAAGAACCCAATCTTTATAGTCTATAAAGTGATGTGCTCTTATCAGACTCAAATGGTGGAAATGAGCAAAATATAACCCAAAAAAAGGAATTAATCTTATGTCAACAAACCAAAGTACACTTGACCTAATCCATAACTAAGATTGAGAAAGAACAAACCCAAAAAACATTCTATGGATATACAAATATCTTACTCTACATCATCTCCTGCTTCTTTTCTTTGGCTGTTTGTTGTCCTTTCCTGTGCTTCCACTTTCCCTACCTCGTTTCCCTGAGGCAGTTGCGGTTGCTGCCTCCACGGTTTTCTTCTGTGGTGGTCTCCCGGGAGCTCTTTTCACCGGAGTAGTATTCTCCACCTCGGCCTTCTTTTTACCCCTACCCACATTGTTGCTTCTAAGTTCTCTTGGTTTCGCTTTACTCTCTTTCTTACCGTTACCACCGCTCTTATTCTGATCTTTGTCTTCCTTTTGCGGAGAGCTCTTCTTTATCCTCTTCAAGAAGTCAGCCACACTCTTCTTCTTATCTGATGAAACCACCACCTTCTTCTCTGTTTTCGCTTCCTCCTGTTTCTGTTTGTTCTTCCCTTTGCCCGTCTTTGTATTGTTGTTAGCTGTTCTTTTCGAGCTTCTTCCACCAGTCTCAACGTTCTCATTCTCCTCTGATAATGTCTCTTCTTTCGTCTCCTCTTTCTGACTAAAGCTTGACGACGATGGAGAAGCCTTAGCCTTAGCGGAAACAAATCTTCTCCTCTTACAAGCAACAAGAGGAGCTGAAGACTTCTGTTCTGATGTCTCAGCAGCATCTGATTTGATACTAGTCATAACCGCAGATGCTTTTAACACCCGGGGACTCGATTTCCCGCTCTCTTTCCTCATTTCTTCAGAAACAATGGCTCTTAGCTCATGAGCAGCCATTGATTCTGATGAAGATGAAGGGAAGAAGGTAATAACGTTTGTGAAGAGAAGCTGAAGATCTCTGTAAAAAGTGAGCCTTGAAGAATCATAGGATCCTTGCTTCAACTTCCTCTGTATTGTCTCAATGTCCAAATGTTGCTTAACCAAGCTCTTGTAATCCTCAGTCTCCTGCGTGACAAAATAGAAAAAAAGCCCATTAGGCCCAACTAAAAACTTTATAATCAAATTGGCCTTATAAGAAAAACACGATGAAAGCCGTACTATAAACAAGATACTGCCACGTGTCATAGATTGTGTGAGCAAAAAGACAACGATTACACCAAGAAAGAAGTAGGGTTAGTTAAGTTTTATTCTTTCTTTCCCTCTATAAAAAAATACGTTCCCATAAACCGTCGAATCAAATTCAAAAACGGACGTTTTAAAAAAAATTGTAAAATGTAGAAATTTATTACGGAATAAGGAATACTGTATATGGATTTCCAAAATTCAAATTTACAGCTTTTTATGTATGGATTTATATTACTATTAAATTATAATTTCTGTAACAAGTTCGAATTTTCTTTTCACTAAGTATTAGTTGGATTAAATAAAGAATTAATATATGGAAGAAAAATAAGATAATTAGCATTACCTGGCTTCGAACCCGGCGTTCGAACAAAGATCCACGCGGATGGGACCGAATCAAATCAAGAAGACGTATCAACGGCTGTGATTCACTCGCCGCCGATCTGATCTCTCCGTCACTATCTTTCCGTCGCTTCCTCCTCCACTTCCTCCCCGACGTCCCTGACTCTCCCAACTCTCCCGAGAGACTCCCTTCCGATCCTTCCTCCGCCGTATTCACCGGATCGGGATCCGCGTCACCACCACGAGCCTGTTCACCGTCTCCGCCGACGGTTTTCTCGGCGGAGCCTGTCGAGTTCGACTCGTTCATCGACCTGTTTTCCCGGTCAGACTCCTCCGCCGTCGTAACCGCCTTTTCACCGCCGTCTTTCTCCAGATCTATCTTCCCGCCGCCGTCTCTCTCCTCTAGTTTCTTAACCTTCTTCTGAAGCGATCTGATAAAACCAAAAAAAAAAAAAAAAAAACTCAGATCCATCGTAAGAGATGGANTTCTTAACCTTCTTCTGAAGCGATCTGATAAAACCAAAAAAAAAAAAAAAAAAACTCAGATCCATCGTAAGAGATGGAGATAGAGAGATTCTGTCACGTACAGTATCGAAACATCGTACTGTTCAACCTCTCGCCGGAGCTCCGCCACACGGAGGCTACGCAGCTCCTCAAGCCATGGTATATCCGTCACCGCCTCCTCGTCGGAGGAGGATTCGTTAAAGCGACGTTTGAGATCTTGATACTTGTGCTTACAATTATCAGCGGAGAATAATAGGGCGGAGATGGAGGAGGTGCGGGATCGAACCTCCGTGGAGACGGAGTCCCAGTCACAAAACCCGTGTCGTTTAACGGCGCATGCCAATAAAAGCTCCTCCCACGTGCCCCAACCTTGCTTCTTCTTCGTATTAACATCTTGGTCGTCACCGTTACTGTGATCGTTATTACTGCAAATATAGTCGTTGTTATCGTTCATGCTATAAGATCCCGCTTCTTCTTCTTTTACCTTCGTCATGCTTCCATGATAATTTTTTTAGAGACTCGTCTCTCTCCCGTTAACAAAAACGCTCGCAGTTTTAGGGATTTTTATTCTTTCTTTCTCCTCTTATTATTATTTTATCTATATACTTTGTATTGTTGCTTTCTTGTCTTCCTCGCTCTCGCTTATTGTTTCGTGCTTTCTTCTCTCATCTCATTTATAAATACTCTCCCTGTGTTTGTGTATGTGTGTTTCATTTTGGTATAATATATGGTTTTTCTTTTTGTGGATGGACATGTGTGGTCACTAGGCTATTCAATGGAAATATATCGTTTGAAATTTTGTTCCTATATTGGTTAAGAAAATATATAGATTTTGTTTATTCGAATAAATTAAATTTTATTTTTTAAAGTGTAATTTCAAAAGTGGATTAAGCAAACCCTAGTTTTAACCGCAGCTTTTTATCCTTTGACCCTTTCCCTTTATCCACCATTAGGGCAAACGCTTTGTTTAAGTTGAGAATTGTTTAGTTTTGAAACCCATAAACGAGCCCGGCCCGGTTAGATGGTACGAAAGCAAATTACAAGAATGTCCCTCCTTGGTTACTATAAATGGAATCTCGTTTTCTGATTGTGTTTTTGGTGAAAGTTAGGTTAGACTGCGTTTACGTACATATGGGGGAGGTTGTCCCCAAAGATATATCGTACATGTGTGTATTAATTTACACACGAAATTAGTTATGGCGCCATTCATTTTACTTTGTTTTCCTCGTTTTTCTTTTTGGAAATAAAACATTGCTTTTATGTCCCATTCACTTAGCTAATTTACATATATACTGCCTTTTTTATTTTGATTTTTCTACAATTCTAGTAACTTTCTAATTAAATTATGCTCGTTATGCAAACTGAATATAGTATTTCAAGATTTTTTGTCATTATATCTTTTTTATTTAGTATTATTTCTGCTTAGTTTTTTTTTTGTGCAGAATCTTTGGCATTATAAAAAATGTTTTGATTATTTCTATTAATCATATATGTACATAATCTTTTCATTTCAGTTTAATTGTCATTGCATATTAAAATTTCTATTATAAAATAAATGTCGTTCTCTAATTTAAATGTCAAATTTATTAAATTTGTATGATAAATAACTTTTTATATTTTTACTTTTTTTTTGCTGGTTGAAATATTGAAATATTTATAAGTGCATAGATTATATGGTAGTGATATTTATGTTTAAAATAAAATAAAATGTTTTCTTTTACAAAGCTAAAAAGACAATTAAAATGAAACTAGAGAGTAATACTAAGAATATGGATTTGTTAGTTTTTATTATTTATGTTAAACACTATTTTATATTTTTATTGATATTTTATATATAGCATATAATTATGGAATCTATAGATATTTAAATATTCGGATCGGATGGAAAGGTCTGATCTACAAATGGAAGAACTTAAATCCATGGGCCAACATATAGGCTTACCTGGCCAGGCCCGATCAAGCCCACGATTTAAGAAGTATATCAGTTAGGTCCCAATCTAGCAAAGTCGCGCAACTTTGTTCTTACACTCTTGTGTTCCAAGAATCAAACCACACGAGTTAAAACATTTACAGAAGTCAACATCTTTTCCAGCTTCCATTGGCAGTCCTTTCAAACACATGTGGCTGTCTCTTTGGGAAGGTTTTGCTCCATTCTGGATATTTTAGTAAATACTTCCAAATCCTGAAAACACACAAATGAGAACATGAATCATCTCTGTGCCAGTACTGTTTGAATTTATCATGCTCCATAATGGGTTATAGATAGTGATCAAATGACTATTAACCTTCTTTCATTGTCTACGAAATCTGGACCTTCAGCAGAAGGTGAGGTGGAACAGTTAACAAGAATCTCTTCATCAGGAAGCTGATTAAGTTCCCACACGTATTCAACCAGCCGCATTGTCCTGTAATTACAAAAACACAGCTCATAAGTACATAACTGTAATGTAGTGAAAATGAGGTTGAAGAAACGTTATTGTTTTTACCAGGAGCATGGTGCGATGATGAATCTATCAGCTTTTGTGTCATATGTGTCAAGTAACTTCCCCTTCCAGCTAGAATCTTCGAATGATGCCGACACTCGGATTCTACGAACAAGCTCATCCGGACATCTAGAAGATCTGTTGAAACTGGCTGGGGAAATTGCACCGGTGGAGGTATTCACCTGATTAAAATTGTTACAAAGAAAAACGGTAACATTTAATTACTAATTCATATATATTCTGTTTAAAAACCTCATTGTTCCTTGAAGAGGAAAGACATTATCTTCAGGAAGTAACAGAGAAAGTAGACTGACCAGGCATCCATTAAAAATGGGGCACGTGTTCCCTTGACCATCCAACTTGGTATTGTGCCCAAGAATAAATAAGGTTTGAATGTGAAAGTTTTCTCTTCTCTTCTGTAATGTGTATACTAATTTGCAACACAAAGGAAATGAGTAACCCTGTGGTTTGGCATAGTCACCACCACCATTAGCATTCTGCAAATAATCAGTCAATACATTCATCTTAATACCATTCTATAGCCAAGCGCTAACTAGACTGAGAGATATAGAAAACCCCAGTGTATACTTTTAAATCCACATCTTCATAACCACCAACCATATGTACCTGCATACAAACCCCCCAAGGACATATTCAGAAAGTACTCAAAAGAATATAATGAATGATTAACATAAGCTCAAGGAGAGACAATACATCTAACTCAGCGGCATCACTGTCATCCTCTAAAACCAATGATAACATCTGCCTTATCCCAACGTCCACAACTTTTGGTGAATCCATGTGTGCAATAGAAGTGCTGCAGTTTCAGATTCATCACAATAAATTAGACTAAAGGTGATTGATTGCACATTCTTATAGAACAGTCCTTACACTCCAGATCTTCTGTTGCGGATAACAAGACCTACACAAGTTGTTGCTTCATCCATGCCAACAAACTTCTCATCAACAAACAAAGATCATTAGAGAAACAAGAACACTATAGTGGATGGATAAAAACATTAACATACATACATCAACAAGAGCTGGATTCACAACAGCATATTCTCTTTGGAATACGTAAACATATCTGTCTTTCAATGAGCTGAATTCTGTAACTTTCTGTTCCTCAAGATTCTTAAATGTTTCAGAAGCTGAGATTATGACAGGATGTGTCATTACATCAACAAGCAAGCTACTTCCCTGTTCCACGTTGGTCAACCATTCAGCTTGCTTCTACGCCAAGTATAAAGTCAAAATAAGTAAACTTTTACATCGTCAAGAAACTAGATTTAGTTAAAACTAGTGAATGGAGATTTGTGAGAGACGAAGAAAGCTACCTGCGATGAAGAAGAGGAAGAAGATGAGCTGTTCTCATCTGGAAAGAGCACTCCGTCGACGTAGATCATGATCGCCGGAGAAAAGAGAGAAACAGAGCTTCAACGACGGCGATGACAAAAAGAGATCGCCGATGACTTTAATGCGTTGACAAAACAAGTAGCGCTTAAGTAACAAAAGTAGAACACTGCGTGCCGTTTTCTAGTTTCAGCTGTAAGACATCGTGGCGTTTTAAATACGAGACTCTTCGGATTTTATGAGAATTGCGAAACTGGGCAGAATGTTTTGTTTTCTCACATATTCACCCCATAACTTTAACAAAATATACAAATTAGTAATTACCTGGAAAAGTTCTTAGAGATGATTTTATTTTTTCAATCTTGAATTTTGATTTTGAAACCAACCACTTCAATAAATACGATTAGATTATTTCAAGGAGAAAAAAAAACTCTGACATCAAAAGTTTCAGAGAATTACAAGTCCACAAAGAATGTACATACATTCAGACACATCCAAGGAGGAAGCAAAGACAGAGTCACATAAGAGCTTTGTAAATGATTCAAGTTTTTTAGCTTAGCCTCCTTCTAGACCTGGTCCGAGGTCCATTGTTTACATCTTCAGTTCTTCTCCTAGACGATGAAGCTGAAGTAACAACCACTTCACTAGAATTAACAAACCCAGGAACAGCAAAATCTCTAGGTGAAGATGATGAACCTGCAGTATTACTACTTTGGTTCCTACGCAGAGAAGAAGAGCCTCGTAACGCTGGTGAAGGACCAATCTCAGCAATACGTGAAGACCTACGACGGTTTGTCCTCAAACTAGCTGTTGTATCAACAAAACTATCAACATCAAAAGCAGCAGCATCATCAGAGGTTGGTGTTGGTGGTGGCATCTCCGAGCTGCTATCTACAACAAGACCTGGGAAAGAAGTAAACGGTGACAACAACCTCAAGTTATTCTGTTGATTTCTCACCACACGATTGTTGTTGTTACCTCCTCCTCCTCCTCTACTGGTTACTATATTAGTCAAACCAAACTCATCACCTTGAGCTAAAGCTTGTAACCCACCTATAGAATCAATAGTCCTCCTAATATGCTCGAGCGTCTCAGGACCAGGGATAAAAGGGTTGCCACGGGTTATAATCTTTTGACGAATGCTTTCAACTCTCTTTGCATTAGGCCTTGGAGGTAAACGAATACCACAATCCTCACGCTTGGCTTTATTGCTCCCACCATCATCTCCATCTCCATTACCGTAGATTGGAATCACCTCGGTGTCAGTAACTTCTCCGTCGCAAACAGGACATTCTTTAATGTTTAAGTAAATGAAAGGTAANTTATAATCTTTTGACGAATGCTTTCAACTCTCTTTGCATTAGGCCTTGGAGGTAAACGAATACCACAATCCTCACGCTTGGCTTTATTGCTCCCACCATCATCTCCATCTCCATTACCGTAGATTGGAATCACCTCGGTGTCAGTAACTTCTCCGTCGCAAACAGGACATTCTTTAATGTTTAAGTAAATGAAAGGTAACTGGTAGAAGCATCCCCAGCAAAACAAGTGACCACAGCAAGTCAAAACCGGATCTTCAGCTTTCTCTAAACATATGTTACAATCAAAGTAACCGCCAGGGACAGAGGTTGGTCTCTCCATGTTCAACGCCTTTGCTATTAAATAAGTCTTGTCGTCGTCCCCGTTCTCGACTAGTCTCTCTCTAGAACGCTCGTGTATAACTCCAACCGTTGAATCTCTATGAGGAGCCAAAGCAGGTGTTGTTGTTGTTGTTGTTGTTGTTGTGACGGTTTCTCGTTCTCTGATTCTTGAAACTATAGCTTCGAGCTGTCTTAACCGTTCTTCGATCCGCTCGTGAGCAGTTTCCAGCTCGTTTAGCCAGGGAGAGATCCTTGTGATTGAACCGGGTGGAGACTCTGAACCGGAAGATGGTTCTTGGTTTAGATCAAGATCCATTATCTCTCCTTGAACACTTGACATGAGAGAGAGAGCAGGAAGAATAAATATTAAAGATCGATCCTTTTTTTTTTGCACAGATCGAGAAAATCAGGAATCAGGTAAACGCATGCATCTGAAACATAACCAAATAGGATCGAAAGAATCAAACTTTGGGATAGATCAATGGTATGGATTTCATGGAGCAGATCATTGTGTGGGGGATCGAAGAAAACAGAGGATTATATGAAGTTTGATTGGAGAAAAGAGATGACCTTTGAGAGAGATCAAATGAAGAGGAGGATGGGGATGAGTTCTAGAGCGGTGACCATGATCGGTGGTGGCGAGAGAGGAACCGAGAAATGAAATAGAGAGGACGAAGTAGGTCTGGACAACAATTTAAACCGAAACCAATTGTCTTAAGGACATTATTGTCTTAACATGTTTTTTTTATCTTTAACTTCTTTTAAGGTTTACGGTTATCAAAACGTTACATTTATTTTATTTTTTTTTTTTTTTAACCACTATTTTATTTAAATAAAATGTTAAATTACATAAAAGTACAGAAAACAATAATAATACAATCAAATGCAAAAGTAAGATTAAAAAACATTACAATACAACGATTAAAATCTGAAGAAGTTTTCTTCTGATCTATCTTGCTTCTCCTTTTGCAACACCATTCATATTTGGTTATCATCTTGTTGACGAAGTTCCAAATTTCTTTTTGAATATTTCTTTGTTGTATAACATTGGCCAGATTCCACATAGGATCTATAGATATGCTTTGAGAAGAAATCCAATTTACTGATTTTTTCCAAAGAGTCAGGTAGGGGTATATAATTAATTTTGGTTCATTATTTATTCAATGTTTTATAAAAATATTAAAACGTGCGGTTTTTAGAGTAATTTGTTTAATGACATTGCCTGACAAGAAAAAAATAATGTATTATTTAGAAGTAGATACACTAAATTGACAAATAATTTAGTTATGCAGATATAAATTTCAAAAACGACCCCTTACTCCCTTAGTAGTAGTATCATAAAGTATCAGCAATTTGTATGTATCTTTTACTAGTCTAGTAAGTAATTTATCAATATCATCAATTTTCATGTCTTTGATCAATAACACCAAGTCAATAATTTTCAAAATTTTGTTTTTTTTATCAAGTAAAAGAATGTTACGTTGTAAGATTTAAACGTTCGAATAAATTTCACAATCTGTAAGTATGTAACATGCACATAAGTCTTTTTTTTCTTTTTTGAGAACAAGATTACAAAAACACACACACACAAATAACACAAGAACCAAACAACTTAAAATTTTCACCCCAAAAAAAGAAAACAAGAAAGAGAGCCTTTATCTATTGGTTTCTATTCCGAAACAATTTTTTTCAAAGAAAGAAACAATTACACATCTTCATATATATATAGTATTCCTTGTTAATCACCGATTTACCAATAGTATCTCCGCTTTGGATGATCCCAAAGATCAAGCGCAGCCTCGTTCGCATCATTCATAATACGTGCCTCTAGCTGCATAGCTGCCATCTCATCCTGAGCTTTCATCAACGACTTTATCCTAGAAGCTGGAGAACTACTGTCTTCTCCTTCTCCTTCTTCTTCTTCTTCCTCCTCATCTTCTTCTTGATCTTCGTATGCAACACATGAATGTACATGTGTTCCATAGTCACATTCTCTGCAGTGATACACCCATAGATCTTCCAAAACAGTCTCTTCACAAGCGCTACAAACGTAGGTCGTATCTTCACGACCTTTACACGGTGTGCAATAAAGAAGAGTGAGTGGATGTTCATGATCTTCACGCTCTATGGTTTCAGGGAGAGATGCACATCCCACATGAAGATTGTACTTGCAGTTAGTGCAATGGTAAGTGAATCCAGATCCGTATTGGTCACATGCGTCGCAGGTGTAGACAGATTCTTCATCTGGTGGGGAATAAAGCAAGGTCAAAGGGTGGTCCTGGTGAGACTTGTGATTGATCTCACTAGGAAGGTCGAAACATGACTTGTGCAATAAGTAATCGCATTCCGACTTTGTACACTTGAAAGCTTGCCCGATTAGCTCGAGCTCGCATCCAGAGCAAACGGTCTCGTCGTCTTCTTTGGCTTTAAAGACACGCAAAGGATGATTGTGACTCTGGTGCCTCACAGATTGACGATTAACCGGTTTGGCCTTTGGTTTTCTTGAAGCCATGTTTTTTGATTATGAGTTTGGTTTAAGTTGTTTTTTGGGACAAAGGATGTGGATTATATATATACCAAAAAGGCATAATCTGAAGAATGCTATGTTATGATTTGTTTTGATTGATTAGTAATTAACCAAGGCGCTGCATCATGCGGTTTCGCTAATTTAAGAATGTTTCATCATGATTGATAAATACATCTTATATATATTTATTGATGATCGTTGACATTTGAACTTATTTGGGAAGACCGTTAACATCTGAGCTTATATGGGATGCAAAGGACTTAAGACTTAAAAGAAAATGTAGTAATCCTTGGACGCGGTTTGGTTTTATAAAGATAACTTGTAGAAACGGATATTCTAATTAACATCTGGTTTTAATTAGCAACTTGGTAGTTTTTTTTTTGGAACACATTTTTGCAACTTGGTATATCTTATACATATGTAGAGAGAATGCGGTTTATCTAGGTCAATCTTTTGAAGTCAATGCTATTTTTATCTTCTGCAACTTGTTTAAGTTTAGCATAGTTCACGAATTGACGTACAAAACAATGTACAAACAATGGATACACATTAACATGAGACATTTTTGTGTAAATCGCATTCGGAAGATCAAAGCAGAAAAACGTCACTAACATAATGAGTTTCTGCTAGATACGGACATAGATGACTCACGATGCTACTTAGGAATTTTTCTAACCAAATCGATGGCTAAAAGTAACATAACCCATCACACTAGACCCATCTTAATTCTTAAATAAGATTTAGGGGTTTTGAAGCTATTATCTTACTAGAAATGACTAAGTATATACTCATTAATGGTATCGATAATATTTTTAGATTCTTTTCCCAAAGTCATGTCATAGCTATATCCAGATGATATGAAGAGGACCTTAACTAAAGACCCAGAGTATTGACCTCATATCTTTAACTATGTCAACTCTTTTATTGTATACATTTCCAGTTTGATAATGCATTTCAGTTACAATTGGCTATTTCATCAAGTTATATATAATACAACTACCATAAAGCAAGTCCCGTGATGGATGGGTTCAAAGAAGAATAGTTCCATCTCTTGACTTTGAATCCCAAACAAGAATAAATCATATATAGACCGTATGATCATATTGGCGCGTTGTGACATTATTGTCCTAATATACTGAATATATATAAGCTACAACTTGGTAAATAGTCAAACCAAGACATATCACTACTTCATCCTAAAGAAGATCATAATCACAAGTCTTGTTGATATTTTCATTATAAATAGTCTAGGTCTAACAAGCATCTCAAACACAAAAAAAAAAGAAGATTTTATTATCTATAATGGCTTCAAGAAAACCGTCAGTGAGGCACCCTAGCCACAACCATCCATTGCGTGGTCACAAAGCCCAAGCTGAGGAAGAGCTCATCTGCTCAGGCTGTGACCTAGACCTGATAGGCGCAGCTTTCAAATGCACAAAATCTGAATGCGATTACTTCTTGCACAAGTCATGCTTCGAGCTTCCACGTGAGAACCGTCACAAGTCTCACCCGGACCACCCTTTGACCCTGCTCTATACTCCACCGTACGAGTCCTCAACTTACACGTGCGACGCGTGCGGTGAGTATGGATCCGGGTTTGTTTACAACTGTTCTGTCTGTCAGTGCGATGTACATGTCGGATGTGTGTCTATGCCTGAGACCGTGGAGCGTGAAGGACACGCGCATCCGCTCACGTTACTCTACCGTTCTCCTTACCAGAACGGTCTGATATTTCACTGCGATGAATGTCATGAGACCGTTCCGGATAATCTCTGGTCTTACTATTGCAAGGAATGTGACTACGGGACGCATTTACATTCTTGTGCGGTAGAGGAGAAGGAAGAGCCAAAGAGAGGAGGAGGAGGCAATGGTAATACTAGTAAGAATAATGGAGGAAGGGGCTCCGCGTCTTCGGAGTTAGCCGCGATGCTGGAAGCTCAAAGGGAGATGGAGATGATGCAGATTCAGTTAGATATGGAGATGCAGAGAGCTAAGATGGCGAAGAAGGCCAGAAAGGCTTGTCTAAAGCTGATCTAGTGAGATTCATCATCTGTTTCTCTCGAGCTATCTTGGATTCTTGAAGCTTTGATACTCGTTGACTATTGTTCTTGGTTTTTTTTTTTTTGCTCTTGTGTTTCCATTATTGTTTGCAAGCGATCATGTTTTTTTTTCTTCTTTTTGAATATTTCTTTAACTGTCTGAATAAAATAATTACATCACTTCTTTTGTTGTTGGTGTTTACTTTAATTGTCATAAATATGTAACTTTTTTTTTGGAAAAATATAAATATGTCAGTTATTATGAATATTTGTTGGAGGAGGTTTATGTGACTTGGAATACATCTGTTAGAAAGAAAAAAATCATGTAAATTACACGATCTTTTTTAATCATGTTTGTGTAAATGTAATTTAACCATGGAACTGTAATAAATTCGGTTTTATCTAATAGCAATCGAACACTAGCTACTAGCTAGTCAATCTTTCTTCTAAGTACCATACAAACTTTTCTCCGAAAAATAAAATATAGATGACAATCACGCACCATAGAATTATTATTACACATCCAATAGTAGCACATCAATGTTACATATCAACACACAACTAGGGTTTTTTTTTACTATCGACCAGCACTTAATTAGATACAGTCACTTCTCCAAGAAGGGCTGCACATAAATTAAACATTTGATCATTACAACTCTCAACCTTGGCAAAGTCAGTCTACCAAAAAATCAGTTATTCACTCATCGTACCCATCAATAAAACACAACTTATCGATCTGCCTTATGTTCCTAAGAGCATGACCTTCTTCGTTTGCTTTTCATGCCTCAAACGATTAGATATCATCAAACCAATGCGATTGAAAAATAAAAAAACCCTAAAAGTTATAAACTCTGGTTAGTTACGACGTATTATGCCCTTTGAATCGAAGTTGTTGTTGGTGTTGTGGCTGTTGTTGAAGATGAAACCCTCGACTTGTGAAGACGAAGACGCTCTCATGGGAAACGAAGAGAAGTAATCTTCTTCTACATCTTGAATCAAACCTTCTAGGTCAAAGTAAGTGTTTGTGTTCAAAGTACTCTTACGATCACCACATCCCCATTCTTCTTTCACCTGATGGTTTCCTCCGTTTGCTAATAAACCTGTAAAACCCGTTAGCCTGTTAACCGGCTGATGATCTCCGTGAACCGGTTCTTGAGACGTTGGGATTCTTGGTTTGGCTCTCTTTTTATCGGTTTTGACTTCTCCGGCTGTGGGTTTTCCGGTTAGACTTTGGACAAGTGATCGAAAGTTCTTGACGTCGGTCTTGATGATCTCTGGTGCAAATATGTGGATGATGCGAATCTTGGGCTTGATCTTGGTTATTACTTGTGAGTTCTGGTTCATGGGAACCCTAGAACTCGAACCTTCGTTAAAACTTTGATGATATTGAGTAACCTCCATGGATTGTCTCACCATTCAAATAAGAAACCCAAAAGAGAAAAATTATAAACGATTGAGAAAGTATTTGATCCTTTTTTCTTTCTGAGATGTGTGGTTTGAACAAAAATATTGGTATATCGTGGAATAATATACTGCGGCGGTTGGTGATTATATATTGGTAGTTATGTAAATTTAAAAATATAGGATTGTTGGTTAGTCAAAAACTTTAAATTAACAACAAAGTTGAATATCAAAATGGTAAAGAAGGTGTTGGACGAAACAGCGATGGACTTTTTCTCACAAAAAAAAAGCGATGGACCTGCCCTCCATGACACACACAACTTAATTTAAATAAAATTTTGAGTGTACATATCATAATATTTACATGATAAATTTTAGTTATATATTACGAGTGATTTGTGATCAGCCAACCAACTGTCGAGAAATATAAACCATAGTGTTATTAAGTATCATATACATAATATACGCATCGGTTGCGTGAGCCATATATCTTTGGTCACCAATTTGGAATTTATTTCTAAGGGAGAGTGTATGAAGTATTAATTGTCGGCATGTTTGTTCTTCTCTAGTTTGTGGGATATGGTGTTTTTTATAGTTCTTGTAGAAAACTATTTAATTATATTGTTGTTTGTTTTATTTTAATACACACGTATATCACTACTATATGTGTATTTCTTTTACAGTTGTTATTATTGTCTTACTACTATTACATAAAAGTCGTTTCTGCAAGTGTTATAAACTTTTGGCTAATGACATCGTATGTAGAATTTAACTTTGTCATAACTTATAACAATAATAGTATATGGAAATTCAAATCACATGGAACGTTAATATCGATTTCTATAGTTGTGAGGTCAAAATCTGACACAGAAAACTGCCACACTTTGGAAACCAACCTCGTTCTAATCCTCCTTTTAGTTCATTTGCTTCGATTTTTAATGATGGTTTTCAGTATAGTACTTGTTATTATATTCTTTCACTTACATACCTGTGAAATATAGATTCAATTTTGAATATCATCTTTATTTGATTTATTAACACAAAAAAAAAACACTTACCTTTAACCAAGTAATTAAAGCCACCTATACGGCTATACCACACTTAAATATTGTAGTGTCCATCTAATTAATTCTGTTATCTTTGTGTTTAGCACTTACATATACTGTTACAAACTAGCTCATTTATCTACACATGCCCGAGGTGTCAACGCTTATATGTTCCATGGTGCTTAAAAAACACCAACAATCTCTTTTCTCGTTGACTTATTTTTAAGTATCTGGCTATTTAAAGTTTTGAACAGAGAAGCTGACATTTTTATCAGAAAAGAAATGACATACACAAACCTACACAGCAAGCACATAAAATAATAGTTGACTTTTGTTTTGCCAAAGGAGCAAACAAGAGGGACAGGGTGGATTTAACCTCCGTTGACTTTACGTAAATGTGATTCATTTTTATTTGATAAACCCTTTTTGATCTTATGGAGAGTCGGAATGGATTACTGATTATATTTGTCGAGATGTTTTCGAAAACTCACCCACCTTTATTTTTTAGTCGTTACGACTAATTACAACACATATGCGTAGAAATCTCTTAAAGTCTACCAACTTTCACTATGTCTTTGCCCTAATTAGTGTGGAGATTTGGCTTTTACTCGTGCAAAACTACAATCCTATAGTTTGACCCTGATTTATTAATTTATAAACAATAGCCTTAGTATATGATTGTAGTGAGAGGTCATATTAGTTAACAAATTCAGGTTGATAGTATTTTATTTAAATTAACGTCAATGAGTTTAAAAGTCAAAACTTATTTAAATCCATCTGTATAGAGAAAAATTTATTTGTTTATTGATGCGTTTGCGTATATAAGTATCACTGATTTGACATTTCTGCAGATAAATAGCTGTGTTTTTTCTAGTTAACATAAAGTTAACGGCAACTGTATTTGGAGTCATTATTTAATGCTCTTACGCGGACTTGAAGACATGTTCTATGACAACTTTGTGAACAAATATGTGCATTTTGCAAAGTATATGCATTGGGGCCATGAACAAGAAATCATACCAACATCCATCCATTTAAATATTTAGAGAGATAGATAGAGAGTGGAGTTCATCAATTTAGTTCTTTCACTCAATATTTGTCCAATCTCATGAATAAGTATATTATTTTTAATGAAAAATCAAATGTTCATTAAGAAAATTTGGCTTTTCTTTACATAATTAAAGCATTTTTAACACATCTTTATGAGAACTATAACAAAATGTTATTAAAAAAAAATACACACTAGTAGTAACATTATTTACGTGTGTTCTGTAGATTCAAAGTAGAACAAAAAGTCGCTTTGGCCGAGTGGTTAAGGCGTGTGCCTGCTAAGTACATGGGGTTTCCCCGCGAGAGTTCGAATCTCTCAGGCGACGATTTGTTTTTTTCTCCCCAATTTTATTTCCAATTCACAAATCGTTTTGGGCCTGTAGAAACAATTAGCCTATTTTAATACTCCCGTAAAGGTTAGTTTGTTTTTTTGTACAACGTACACTATGATGAACCAAAGCTAGTTTCTCTAAGCCCTTATTTGTTATTGGGCCGTATAATCAACTGAAAACGAATGAACGAGTCCATAGCTTTAGGAACCGGAGGAAGAAGGAAAAGGTTTTGAAGGGCTTAGACTGACGTCAGAAATGACACCATGGATTCGTAGCATAAAGGTTCCAAAGAGCTTAGACTGCGCCAAGTGTCGATGCAGACAACAAAAGTCAATTCCACTGAGTCGACATTTCCACTCAGTGGGGTTGGTGTGAAGTGGTGATCCTTTTTTCTCATGCCCACAACTCTTTTTTATAATGTATGGATTTGTATGAATTTCATAAGTACATAACGAATTTTAATCTACAAAAGGCCGATGTAGTGAACGAGTGAGCTGTTATTTAGGGAATCAATTATGAACAAATAGCATTATTAGAGCAAAAGTATCTTTATTAGCACTAATGAGAACACATACTATATAGATTTCTCCCTTTTAATTATAACTCCGATTTATCAGTTTCCAATTTTAAAACGCAAAACAGATGGATTCAGTAAAACGAATGTAAAATCAAATTTCGGTCTAAGAAATTATGTATACCACAAAATAAAAGAAGCTTAAACTGATATAAAGTATACTAGACGATGACCCGCCCGACTGGGCGGGTGTTTTGTTTTCTTTTAATTTTTAGGTTTATACTAAATGATGTAAAATAAAAAATGAAATATCAATTAAATGGTTACAAATTACTTATGGGTTTAATTTTGACAGAAGAATACCGAAAAGTTTGATGTTTGATCCGCGCAAGTGTTTGTTTTTATATATTTTATAAGTGATAATATATATTTCTAAATTTACCCGTTTAAATATTGTTTAAAATGGCATTTTAAACACACAATTTTATAGTTTATATTGAGTAATTTTATTTTATCTTATAAACTATCATTTTGTCATACTTATTTTTAAAAATATGACCCGTATATCTGCACAAATGTTTTTATTTTATTTTTATGGATCAAAATTTTATGATAATGTATAACTAAATTGTTTTATTTACTATTTAAAATATATGGTCTTATATATTTCTACTTTTTAACTTTTATTATTCTGAATTTACCTTTAACTATTATTTATATAAAAAATATACATAACATGATATGTTTATATTAATCTTTTTATTATATATTATATAAATGTTTCTTTTTGTGACTTTTATTTTAGTTATTACTTATAAATAATAAAAATATAATTATATATCTTTGAAAAAAATATTGTTCATTAACTATTTGAAGATATGTAGATAATTAATAAGAAAAAAATCCTAAAAGGTAGGTTAATTAATGTTGGATTAATTATTATGTATATGAAATTAGTAAAACAATTTCTATACAATTTATTTATTTAATTACCAAAGGTATATATGAAATTAACTATTTTTATTAATTATTGTTGCCATAATTTTTTTATTTAAAATTTGATTTTGGAAATGCATTAATTAAAGTGAAAAGACAAAGAATCCTATAAGGTAGGGTAATTAATAACTTCAGTGGCATAACATTGTAAATAATTAGAAAAACTCAGGGGTATTTTATATGGGTACTTCTCTTTTAATAATATAGATATTAGATATAGCCCTATGGAGATAATGATGTTGACATTTGAGATACCTGTTCGTTCCCATGTAATGTATGACAGTCACATAGGACGACGATCTACTGGTCTCACATATTATGGAAATTAGATAAAACTTCGATGAGTTTCTCGACACGACAACGCATACAATCATCACATAACCAAATAAATAAGTTAAAGAAAAAATAAAAATAAACCCTAAAAATATGCTGCTACGATTGCTATATAAATTGTAACGAGTACAACAACTAACACTAAGGATTAAATCGTGCACGAACAATAACAATGGAGTCTTGGAGGATTAGTCTAGTGGCGATAGCACTAACATTAATAATGGCGACGATGGTGTCAGCTGGTGAGGACAAGGCGAAAGATAAGGAAGAGTGTACTGAGCAGCTTGCTGGTATGGCCACATGTCTTCCTTACGTGCAAGGACAGGCAAAGACTCCGACGCCGGACTGTTGCTCCGGGTTGAAACAGGTTCTCAAATCCGACAAGAAGTGTCTTTGTGTGATCATACAAGACAGGAATGATCCTGACTTGGGTCTTCAGATCAATGTGTCTCTCGCTCTTGCTCTTCCTTCTGTTTGCCACGCCGTTGCTGACGTCACTAAGTGCCCTGGTTCGTACCTTAATTGATTACCTCTCTACAATTTCGTGATATAACATAATAGTTTGCCGTTTGTGGTTGGATAGCTGAACATTCGTTGACTTCAGGATCTTTTGGTTACTATTTTTTTTGTGGATATTTAGAAAGATTTTGAGCTCATGGTTAGTATTTGGACTGACGCTGATTTGGTGTGAGTTTTACAGAAAAAAATACTTACAAAATCTACCATATAAGTTCAGTAATTTTCTTGTGTTAACATTTAATCCAAAAAACAAAAACAAAACATGAGGGAGAGGTCTAGTACTTTTAGTCCATTTGAGTCACGCACGCTACTATCATATCTAAATCAATGTTATGAGTCTTGTGATACACGATTATGACATATTACTTTTTTTGGTTAATACATATTACCAGTATACTGTAGGTTTTAATTGAATAAATAGTACATTAGTACAACAATAATTTGCAGTTTTGCACAAAAAAAAATCTAAAAAAATAACGTATTTAAACAAAAAATAAGTTTAGAAAAAAAAAATTGTTGCCCAAAAAAAAAAAAAAAAGTTTAGGAAAATTGATTGTATAAAGTTTACCAAACTAGTATTGTTTTTTGGAACGGGTGTTTCAGCCTTGCTTCACATGGACCCAAAATCTCAAGAAGCCCAAGTGTTCTATCAGTTAGCAAACGGTTTAAACAAAACTGGCCCAGCCTCTGCTCCTACCGGCTCGGCCCCTGGGCCAACCAGCATATCTCCAACCGCAGGATCCGAGGATGGTAACAACAGTGGTCGGGCGACCTCTCTGCCGAGCAAGAACCACGCTCAGAGCTTTCGGAAACGATGGATAGGGCTTGAAGTTGTTGCCCATCTCTTCATAATATTATTCATTATCACCTTGTAAAACTAATACTGAAAAGTTGAATTTATGAGCTTGCAGTGACGTTGCTTTTGTTCAGTTACTTTTGTGTCGTGAGAACTCTTCTCAACTTTTTCTGTGTGACGCAAAATAACACACGAGTTACAGTTTGTGTATTTTCTCGTATGCTTTCATTATCAATTTTATTTAAAATCTTTTACTCTAAAAGTAGAAAGAAAATGTATTCTTTTAATGGCACTTATACACGCAATACCCTTTCACGGGTGATTTGTGTATCAACTTCTTCGTTGCGACTTGCGACGTTGATAGGAATTGAAAAAAAAGGTAAGCCTCTTTGTGATCGTTCTAATTGGAATTTATCTTATTATGGTGTTTCTTCTGAAACGTGTCATCTCAAGTTCTTACCTTAGCAAGAAAGAAGAAACCTGCACCAATAAATAAAAGAGGTATATGATCCAAAAGAAAAAATAAAATGAAAAAGAGAGAACCACACCACAAGGCACAAAATGGAACATGACCATATCGAATTGAAAGCACAATCATATATACTTCCAAGGGTGAAGCTAAATGGAGTAAGGGTGGAGCAGTTGCCTACCATAAACATTTCCAAATTTAGTGTAGTTCTTATAAAATTTCAGTGATGTCCATATTCATATTTTATACTTATGCTAGTAGTTTTCATCTCTGCTCCAGATAGAAACAACTCTAGATTCGCCACTATATACTACTAACCAAATTGCATGTCCAACTTGATACCAGTAGTACCCCTTGAAAAGATTTTTTCATAAATTTGTTAGAATTTAAAGCATAATTTGTATGGTTAGTAGTAATGTGAAGAATTGTATGCACTTGGAAGAGGCAAGTAGGAACACAAAGACAAAGAGAATCTGTAAATATAATATTCAAACTACAGCTACATTTCAAAGAGGATCCATTTCTCGCATAGTTGGCGCGAGGTTGCTATTATTATTATCATCCATTCGCAAAATCCACAGAGCAACCACATGACCGCACAACTTCCCAGATTATCTTCTTCTCTATCTATCATCCTCTGAATTGTCTATTATTATTATTTTTCTCTCTTTCTTTTTGTTATAACGGTTGATATCTTTTTATTATTTCTTTCTCTATATTCAATTTGACTCCCATTAATATCTAAAATCGAAATCCCATGAAAAATAAAGACTTTCACGCCTTTACGCAACATATTAAGAGGCTCGAGTCTTATGCAAGATACCGTCAACTTGTACTAAAAAAAAAACAGAAGTGCAAGTTTCTCGTGTGTAAAGCTCCCACGTACTTTTCTTTGGGAATACAACTTTCGAATTTGATCTCTTAATTTGTCTAATTCAGATTCAATTCTGTGATCTGAAGTTTCCTCTGTTTCACTCTACAGGTACAGAAAGTCTCTTCCTTTTTATTTTCTTCTCCAATCTGAAAGTTCGTATTTTTAGATAGTTTTATTGAATTATAACATCTGGGTTATTCAAATTCATTGATGGGCATCACATGCACGCCTTTGCAGATTAAAAAAAAAAAAAAAAAACAGAGTTGATGACGTCATCCGTGATTGTTGGAGAGGATGAAGAGGATTCGTTCATGAAACCACTTGGGAGATTGTCTGTGTTTTACTATGGAGTTGGTCATATGCTTAATGACATCACTGCTTCTTGTTGGTTCACTTACCTACTCTTGTTCCTCACTCAGATTGGTCTCTCCCCAAGGTTTAAAAAAAAAACATTCTCCTTTGAGTTTTGTAAAATGTCTTCACTTTAGTGGGATTTATCAAAAGCTTTTTTTGTTGTTGTTTCTTTGTGTAGGGATGCGGCAATCGTTATGCTCTCTGGTCAAGTTGCTGATGGCTTTGCTACTATCTTCATTGGTGAATTGGTAACTTTTTTTGGAACTTCATTCAGATTTATAGGTGTAACTTCTTTGTTGTGAGAGCTTGTTTTGGTTTTCAATATTCATCTCACTATTGGCATATGCTATAGTGTGTTTAAGCAACTCTTTTTAGACCTTTAGGTTCTCTTATTCTCATGTCAGTTAAAGTTATCTTAGTTTGAGTTACATTGATCTTGTTCTGTAGTAATGATTAAAGGAAAATTGGATAGATAGATGATCTCACTTTCATCTCTGTCTTCATCAAATGGCAGATTGACAGATTTGGACATTTCAAAATCTGGCACGCTGCAGGATCTCTATTAGTGGCTATCTCATTTTCTTCAGTCTTTGGTGGTTGTTTGCCTTGCTCAATCCTCCATAGCACCTCTTTAACGATAGAAACATTATCATACAGCACCTTTGCAGCTATCTTCAACATAGGATGGGCAGCTACTCAGGTTTCCCACATGTAAACCACTCTTTTCTTTTTTTTTCATTTAATCTTCTCTGTAGGTTAAACTTCAGATTGACTCAGTGAATATCCATTAAATGTTTATGTTATTTAGGGCTATGGTTAATTGCATTACATTGAATTCAACAAGCAGAGTAGCACTAACAAGCTCCCGCAACGCCTTTAGCATGGTCAGCTCTTCCCCTTGGTTTAATTTGGTCTCTAAACATTGTCTACTTAACTTCTCTGTCGACTGTTTCTCTCAGGTTGCCAACTTAGGCTTATACGCGATTGCTTTAGTTGTATTTGGTGTTAGCAAAGCTGATACAAAAGAAAACACCGAGTCACAGGTTTTATATTTTTCATTGACTTGCTATTCAGCTATATACTCGATGTGATTCTAAGTCTGTCTTAACTCTACAGTATCGTTGGATTGCTTATTCATGCATCACTGTTGGCTGCTGCTTTGTGATCATATTCCTTATGGGAACAAAGGAACCACGGTAACAAACACTTTCTCGAAAAATGCTTTAAATAAACGTTTACCAAAGTTTCATTGCTTGATAGATGAGTTGCTTCTCTTTTATTTTTCAAAAGGCTGAGGATAAATCTAAGAGAAAGTAACCGATCGAGAATACCATGGGCTTATTGGTTCCGTAAAATTCTATATTATCAAGTCGCTGTGGTTTATCTCCTCACACGACTAGTTTTGAATGTTTCACAGGTTAGTTTTTTTTTTTTTGATAAAATGTTTCACAGGTTAGTTTCTGTATCTTTTCTTATCTTTCTTGCATTTAGATCAATACTTAACGTTCCAAGATGATTTTTCTAATAATTCTCAGGCTTACCTTGCATTCTTTGTTATTGATGACCTTCAAATGGCTCAATCCGCTAAAGCTCTCGTAAGTTAGAAAAAAGAAGAATCACTTCAATAAAATCTTTCCTCTTTATGATCATTACACTTCTCTAACCAATGTTTTCAATATTCAGATTCCTGCAATAATCTACATCTGCAGCTTCGTTGTGTCAGTTATGCTTCAGGTACAAACAAGTTCAAAACGTACTAGTGTCTTCTCCTTATATATATACTTGATCCTTTTTTGTTTCTGTTATGTAGGAGATTCCATGGAATGGGAAACGTCTCAAGGCCTATTACTGTGCTGGTGGTATTATTTGGATGTTCTCTGGTGTATCCATCCTCTTATTGCCTAGAAGCGTTAACTATTTCATGTATGCCATCTCTGTCTTTATCGGCATCGCAAATGCATTAATCCTAGTAAGACACTCCTCTGCTACATCTGTTGTCTTCATGTGATTCAAGGAAACTATAGTAATCACATTTTTTAAAACAGGTGACAGCAATTAGTATGCAGAGTGTTCTGATTGGTTCAGAGCTTGGTGGATGTGCTTTTGTCTGTGGGTCTTTAAGCTTCTTAGATAAAATGTCATGTGGGCTTGCTCTATATGTTCTTCAGTCACACCAAAGTAAGTTCGTTTCTTTCTTTCTTACTTAAAAAATATAATGATAATAACGTTGGTGATGGATGTGTGATTTGGGTAAAAAAAAAATGAAGCAGGTGCCACTTCACCACAAGTGGATGTAAACATATCACATAGTTTAAACTTCTCGGTGACGAGATATGGATTAGGACTTGTCCCAGCTGTATGTTCCTTTATTGGAGTCGTTGTCACGTATTTTATGGAGCTAGACAGCACAATACTAAAGCCTTTGTGTCAACCGTTGCTTCTTGAGTGAAACAGAGGAAGTAAAAGTCTGTGATTAAGTTTGTTTGGTAAAGATCATTACACAAAGTGGGAATGTAAGTGAACAGTGTTTATATTGTTTCATGTTCATAAGGATTAAGTTATAGATATCACAGTGAGAAAGAAAGCATTTGTTGTACAAGAATTAAGTTATGAAAAATTAATGCAAATTGATTCTTTTTATTTGCTGTTTTTATTGTCTCTTCCCTCTTTATTTTTATCTTGGCGAAGCTGAGAAGCGATTGTGTTGCTATGTTGACGCAACACGCAGAGTGGAGAAAACAGAGCTCTGTATACACAGACAGAGTAGAGCAAAACAGAGCTCTGTAAGCATAAACAGAGTAGAGGAAAACAGAGCTATGTAAACATAAACAGAGTAGGAAAAAAACATTTTATTAAAGTTGTTTAACATGACTTACCAAATTAACTGCTATGTAAACTAAACAGAGCAAAAGGGTATATGATGTATTCTCAAGGCCCTTTTAAGGCCCATGTATACGATGTACAAACGGCGTCGTTTACTGTGATTCGGACTTTAGGTCGTGTTTCACCGGCGGCTTTGTAAGTGAATCCCGGAGATTTTCATTCGCATGAGCTGAGCTCCGGTTAAAAATGGAAGCAAGCGAAGCTAAGAGCAAGAAAACAGGTGCCTCTCGCCTCTGCTGCTTATGCAACCAGAGACGTCCCGTCCTCAAACGACCCAAAACCCTTCAACAGGTTAACTCTTTTGAAAGTCTCATGTTTTGTGTTCTGTCTAAACTTGGAACAACTTTAATACTGTAAAGGTTTAATCTTTATGAATCCAAATGAATCCCTTCCATATGTCTGTATAGTGATCTCTGTATGGGATCTGATCTAATTAATCCTTCTGTTTAGTTGGTCTACTGCGGAAAGTGTCAATCTTTAGTTTCTAAGTCTCTAGCAAGTTGTGCTTTTAGTGTTCTGTAATGGAAGAATGATGGAATATGTTTGTGTGTGTCTAAAAGATATGCAAGGAGTGTTTCTATGAGGTGTTTGAGGAAGAGATTCATCAAGTTATTGTGAAAAATCATTTATTCAAATCCGGTGAACGTGTTGCTATTGGTGCCTCTGGTGGCAAAGGTTAATCTCTTTAAAACTGCTTTCTTGAATTCCTCTGTTCTGTTTGCATATAGATCTTTCATTTTTCTATCAAATTAAATAAAAAACCTGGGGGCTTTGTGTGCAGATTCGACAGTATTGGCATATGTGTTGTCTGAACTAAACAGACGTCACAGTTACGGGCTAGACCTCTTTCTCTTGTCTATAGATGAAGGGATCACAGGTTACCGTGATGATTCTCTTGAGACCGTTAAACGAAACGAACTTCAAGTAAGTTTTTTTGTTATGGTGTGAGAGATCATTTTAATAGCGTTAAGGGTTGTTAATCTTTGTTTCTTTCTTCTAGTATGGGTTGCCTCTTCAGATTCTTTCATATAAAGATTTGTATGGATGGACTATGGACGACATTGTGAAAATGATCGGTTTGAAGAACAATTGCACTTTCTGTGGTGTCTTCCGTCGACAGGTTTGAGTCAGCTTTTTGTTGGTTCTAATCTACACTTTGGTAATAACTTTTCATAGAAAAAAAGCAACTGATTTTGTTTAGGCGCTTGATAGAGGAGCTGCGTTGTTGAAAGTAGATAAGCTAGTCACTGGTCATAATGCAGATGATATAGCTGAAACCGTTCTCTTGAATATACTGCGTGGGGATATTGCTAGGTAACTTTTTGTTTTAAAGATAATGAAAATGAAAAAATCTCTCTCTCTCTCGTTACTCAACTTATTGATCTTTTGTAACGTTTGGCTACTGTAGATTAAGTCGGTGTACATCGATTACTACTGGTGAAGACGGTCCTATTCCAAGATGTAAACCTTTCAAGTATACATACGAGAAGGAGATTGTCATATATCCTTCACTATTTCTGAATTAATTTTATTGTAACTTTTCAACAAATGATTGTTGTGATACACCTTAATATAGTATACACGTATGCTTATTTCAAGAAGCTGGACTACTTCTCCACCGAATGTAAGTGTGCATTTTTCATTTTGGATTTCATTTCAGCAGAAGATCTCTTGCTTTAAGTGATTTAAATGAATTTTTTCAGGTATATACTCTCCTAATGCGTATCGTGGCTTCGCCCGTGAGTTCATAAAAGATTTGGAAAGACTAAGGTTTGTATCCAGCACAGTCAAATAAGTAAAGCAACAGATGTATAACTTTATTACAAAAAAATTACAGGCCAAGAGCGATTCTTGACATCATAAAGTCTGGTGAAGATTTTAGGATTGCAACAACTACAAAGATGCCTGAGCAAGGGACTTGTGAGCGATGCGGTTATATTTCTAGCCAGGTGAGAAAGACTTGCTAACAAAAAGACTCTCTCTCTTTATCACTTCAAGGCATATTGTAATGTTTGGATTACAAAATGAAAATGCAGAAATGGTGTAAAGCTTGTGTTTTGTTGGATGGACTGAACCGTGGTTTGCCTAAGATGGGTATTGGAAGAGCCCGTGGAGGCGTAAATGGTGATCATACCAAGGAAACAAAGAAGCTTGCAAAATCTATAGAGAGCAAAAAATGTGGATCTCTTGATTTCTAAGTTAAAGAATAGAGAGAGAGAGATATATTGAAACTCATCCAAGTCATAAAAGACTTTGTTTTTTTCTTCAAGAGATTTTTGGTTTGTCCTTTTATTAGTTTTGTTTATTTTTTGGGTCATTGTATTTGAAAGCCCAGCTTTGCATTTTGATTATTGAAATTATTAGTTTTTAAATTATTACAAAAGCAAGCATATTTGCCATAATCTAGTTTAACTAAGCCCATTCACATTGAGGACTGAAGCCAGGCCCACCATATAAAATGTAAGTTCCCAAACTAAGGCTAAGGCCAACCGCGAGGTTATAGCATTCTGGCCGAGTCATAGAAATCCGAAGAGTATGTGGATAGGGTGTGATGGGACGGTTAGATGTATCAATGTACTCCAAGTTACTGATATAAGCTGCCCTCGTACGCCCTTCCTCAGCAAAATGACCACTCCCCATTTGCGTGCTCGTATGTACGGCCGGGTTACTAGGTGAATATGTAATCTTCCCTCCCCATGCGATCTGACTTGCCGAGAGTGCTAGAAAGGGGACTATATCGATTGGCCAGTACCCTATTAGGAGTGCCTCATACGTCAACCACCAACGATCTCGATCCTAAAACGTGTTTCAATTTAATCAAGACAATTGACCCTCTTTGTGAAAATGATAGTTAACATCTGTTCTAAGTAAAATGTACCTTCTGAATAGTTAGAAGGAAGTCGTGTTGTTCACCGTTGTAGGTTGAGACAGGGTTCAAAGTTCCACCGAGGGAGAATTCGTTGTTCACTTGTACAAAGACACCACATGCAAGATTGTAACATCCAATGTCTCTGTATGCATCGAGCTAAGTTTTTTTTCGGTGGAAATAAATATTAGTATAAAAAGTCGCTGGTCCAATGAAATTAAAAAAGATTGATAAGAAAATGAAAACTTACTGTCCAATATGTAAAGAATCTTGGATTGTAGTCACCGTAGAAATCGTACCAGATCTTTTATAAAGTATGCAAAAAAAAAAAAAGAAGAAGTTAGAACTATTAGGAAACCAAATATAAGTATCTTCAAATAAAAGTGTGACTTGAAAAAGGAATAGTAGTTACCTGCCAACCAGCCTCCAAACTGTTCACACCAATGTTATAATCTCCATTAAGGACCGATGTTTGAGCCAAACTAAATTCTTTTTGAGTTTCAACATTTGGTTTCCATATACTTATTCGGCTCTTGCTACCATGAAACTGGCCATAGAGGTGAACAGACGAAAGCTACAAAAAAAAATTAGTTCCAAAATCATATATTCAATGCTTCTCTTAAATATGTATGGCAGTAATTAAGCTCTTTTTATACCAACCTCGTGCAGTGTCTCAGCAGCGTCATCTTGATAAATAGTTGGTGGTGGACTCTTCTTTCTTCCATAGTTTCTGATGGAATCTGATCTTAAAAGATCATCTCTTGTTGTTCTTCTGATGGGTATAGTGTTCTCAGGACATTCACCTTTTGTGCGCCACAATTGGTGTATGATATTTGTTTTGTTACCACCCGTCTTGTCCATTATCGAGATACTTTTTGGCCTCATCTTTTGAAGAAAAACGGTAAAACACCGTGAAATGTTAAGACCACAATATCAATTTTAAGGAGAAAAAACTAATACTACTAAGAAAAGCTGTACTCGCGAACCTGAATGGTGTGGTTCTTTAATAAAGGATGATCAAAAGCTGGTTGGTTGTAGATACATACACAATCAATTATATCTCCATCCGGACTCTAATTAATATAAGATATCAATGCAAGATATTAAAAGCAATTAGTCAAAATAATCTTTAAAAATATGTTTCTACTGGCTTATCTAGTTTGTGGTGAAAACCTCAAAAATATTTAAAAGACATAAATTATCTATTTTGTATTTGCTTACACTAAGATGATAGTTAATTTAAATATGTAACCGATCCAACTAATAGTACTACTAGTTAACAATGCTGTTGGAATATGAAGAGACAAAAATGAAATAAATCTAATTTTTACATAGAAACTTGCCAATCAAATAAAATGAAAACAGAATAAAATTTCTTAGACATATTATAAAAGAGAACAAAAGGGAAGAGAAAATTAGAGGAAAAATGTTTTGTCAATACATGGATGGATTTAATGGCCGGTTTGTTGAGTTCTTTCAACCGTAGATCGATTTCACGTTCACTATGGAGGCCGGAGAGTTTGATCTTTCCGGGAAAAATCCCGACTACCATAGGTATGACCACACTAAGAAGAAGGAAAACTTTATTATGCATCATCATTGCGGGTTGCGATGTTTAATTGAAATCAATTGTTGGACAATGGACATAGTTGGATTAGTATATATATACTAAGATATATCACTCAATTTCTATTTTTCCA